CGCCCTTGCCCCCACCCCCCCCCCCCCCGTCCTCCACTCCACCAGCCCAGATCGATCTTCGCGTCCCTGGCACGCTGCCTCTCGGCGCGGTTGCGAAACCGCCGCCCGAGAAGCCGAGCTCGCTTGGCCGGATTCCTGCGTGGAAATCTCGACTGCCCTTATCAGCGCCAAGGCGCAACCGCGGGCTGAGTTTCCGGATTACGGAGCTCGGCTGAAACCCCCCTGCTGGTGGTTGGTGGGGCGCAAAACCCCGCGAGCGCTCCCAAGGCCAATGCGGCCGGGGGAGGCGTCGGCGCGCACTCCGAAACAGCAGTGGGCGGGGAGGGGAGCCCAGGCAGCGCTAAGGCAGGCAGCCTTAGTCAAAAAGGAGGTCCTACGGGACGGAATTCTGCGGGGCGTACCTTTAAGTCAGCGGGCGTAAAGCTGCAGCTCGGCTAGGCTCTTACGACATGTGCGAGAGATTTGGCAACGTGCGACTCTACCGTCAGCGCGCGCATCGGCCGGGCTAACAGGTGAACCCCGCCGTCCCTTCGCCCTCTCCGCCAGCCGAGAAGGAGATAACTTTTTTTTATTGGGGCGAAGATAGAGTTTAAAAGGATGGGACTGCATCGCGCGTCGTGCCTCCGGGGTACCAGTTCCCACTTCGGGTTTCCCTTATCTCGGCGACTCTTCATTCTGGGCAGGCGTGGGCACAGCCCGCCTGCCCAGAGAGATCCCCTCGGACTTGGGCACGGGAATACTCCGCCTTCCCAGCTACCATACAGTTCAGACCGCGTTCCCAGCTAGTAGTTCCTTCGGCATCAAACAAAGCCTTGTCCGATTTGCGCCCACCCACCCCCGCAGATGGGCTGCACCCGTTAACCCTTACCAGCGCCAGGCAGCCAAAAAGACGCTCGCCCTTCCCCGTCTGTCTCGATCGCTTTCTTTCTGCTCACATGACCTGGGAGAAAGTGCCAAACGGCGCTAGGGCCCCGCCCACTCGAAGGCTTGGCCCCTTTCCGGCAGTCTCATTGGACAGCTGGTCGCAGAGGCTCGTCTCGCCCGGTCTTCTGCTCGGCTCACAGCACCGCATGGCTTTCGCTTGCGTTGTGCCCAAATGGGTATAAGCTTTTGTGTGCATTACACCCAGAATTAAACTTTGTTGGTCTTAAAGGTGCTACTGGACTCAAACTTTGAAGAATTGTCACAGTCAGGTATTTTAGTGGTAGATGGTAATTCTGCAATTCGAGATCTACCCAAGTTCTTGGAAATTGCGGATGTATCTGCAAGATAATTTTTAAAAATAATTGTATTAGTTTGTATAAAGAAGAGGGGGAAGAGAGAAATAGGTAGAGAGAGAAAAGTATAAACGTATACAAAATTCCAATTTAGTATTCTGCATGCATATCTTATCATTACAATTTCACAGCTATTTTATCTATCATTGTTATTAGGTAAAGGTAAAGGTTTCCCTTGCTCAAAAGCCAGTCTGATGCCACTCTAGGGATGCGGTGCTCATCTCCATTTCCAAGCCAAAGAGCCAGCGCTGTCCAAAGACATTTCCGTGGTCATGTGGCCGACATGACTAGACGCTGAGGCTCACAGACTATTTATCTTAGTCTTCATATTTATCTTAGTCTTCATTTAATCTTGTTTTCTCAAAATGTGAGTTTTAATAAGTCTGCCTTGTATACTTCAGGTAGAAGCATCTCATTGCTTTTCTTGGTGTAGTCATTTGGTGCTTGTTTTACTTCTTCAGCTGCTTGCTTCACTTTCAGGAAACCTCGTCCACATAGTTTTCTTGATAAGTGAAGATGATCAACATCACTTCTGGGTGTAGTGGGTGATGCATTGTCATTATTTTGTGAGTTTTGCTATCTATTACTTTTAATTCTGCTTGTTTCCAA